CCACACCATCAACAGGATCAATGCCTATCAATGCTGAGAATTTTAGATTAGTAGTAACATTAGCAACTTTACCAAGAGCAAGTGCAAATGCAGCTTTCCCCCCGCGACTATGGCCAGCTAACACGAGCTTTTTCAAGTTTGGCTCAACTTGAGAAGGAAGATAATGATGTAATCCGTCAGGTAACCAGTTTGTGATTTCAGCAGTAGATTTTATTTCCTTAGTTGTATCTGCTCCTTCCACCAAATACAACTAGTAACGTATGCAAATGAAATATCAAAATGAGAGCTGAGAATCAAAATCACATGCATATTACAAATAAGTTTAACAACTTCTATACATCGACAGTGTAAAAACGCTCTTGCCACTAGTGTTTCATATTGCATAAGATAGGCAATCTGGTACAACAGGTTATCATATTTCCATATCAAACTAGTGTTTCATATTGCATAATTGCATTGAGTAACATGGCCAAAAGGGTACCAAATATATATTTTTCATGTTTCGAATTATATTTTATTTACAGAGCTGATTGCTGATGTATTTGTCAAGCAATGCAATCTGAGGGACTTGCATCAAAATATCAGGAAATTAGTGGCAAAGGAAGAGGAATTAATATTCCAAATTATAAAGAAATCTTTCCAACTGTCCAAGCCTTGTTGGACAGAGTTACCTGATACTATTATCAGTAGATACCACTAAAATTGGTTCCACATTTATCCACACATACAAAAAAAAAAAATCCCAAATTATTAAATTTCTTTCCGACTGTCCAAACAGTGGTGAACAGAGTTATCTGATATCTTTGATAGTTGGTACCAATGAAATTAGTCTGAGGTACAAGCTAGCTCAGACTCCACGGTTATAAAAAAAATAAAATATCTCTAATTATTGAGAATTCTAATTCTTGAAGAACATCAATGAAATGACAACTAAAATGTGAGAAAAAATAACAAACCTGAGGAGCAACAACAATGAAGCCATGAGAAGAGATATGTTGGATAAGCTGAGAGTAAAAGTAATTGAAAAGAAGGTAGCCATGAAGGAATAAAATTACTGGAAAATTTCCTCCTTGTAATGGAGTAGAAATCAAGAGTGGCTTTGGAGGAGGAGGAGGAAAAGAAGAATTAATGCATGATTGTGGCTCAACATTCAACAACTTAGTTGAATAATTTCCAATGTCAAAAATTGTAGTGGATGTAGTAGGGGAAGAAGAGTAAGTCATCACCATGGATGAATTTATTGTTATGTTTTTTTGTAAGTATTTTAGGATCTAAAATCTACTACTTATGTTATTTTCTTGATAGCTTGGATATAAAGTTGATTATGTTGGCCCTTGTTTTGCTCCCACCTTATTAATCATGTGTTCCCATAGTTTTTTGTGTTTTATTTTGTACTTGGGGGAGTGGAAACAATGGGTACTAGAGTTAACTAAAGATTTGCCATAAATAGATTTGGTAAAAAATGTTTGACCAATATAATTTGTTATTGATTGGCAAATATATTTGGCAAACATTAAATATATAATCCAAATATATGTGAGTCCACTTAGATACAATGTATTTATAAAATATTATATTTAATTTTGACTCTATGTGTAGACACATAATTTTTTATCGAACATAAGATTTTACACCATTTTTATTCCTTAAATATTTCTTCTAGGTTTACATTAAAGATTATATTTTTATCGTATTTTAGTAAGTTTATTTAAAAGATTTGAAAACTACAAAAAATATATATGTTTTCTTTTAATTTAGATTCTAATAAATAAGCTAGTATTTCTTAATTATATTTTTAAACTAACTATTTGACTTTTATTATATTTTATTAATTCAAAATAATTAATTAATATTTTTATTATTATGATTTTTTATAATATATATCTAATCTAAAAAAAAAAACCTAAACTACCTACACTACCCCATTACACCTACCTAGGGCAGGAGCTAGCATAGAGTTAGGGGTTCATCCGAAACCTCTTTGGCAGAAAATATTACTATTTATACATGATTAACATTATTTTTTATGTATATACAGTAGATGTTTAACCTCTTTCGATTAGTTCGTGATGTACTTCTTCAAATTTTGAACCCCTTATTAAAAATCCTAGCTCCGCCACTGCACCTACCCTCACCCCACTTACTTCTCCACTACCCCACACACCCCACTCCACTCACCACTCCCTATCAACATACATACACACAACACAGCAACACACCCCTATTAGTACAACCAACATACATCAACACGAAAAAGAAGAAAAATAGATACTACAATAGCAATACACAGACGTACAAAAACACCACCTAGACGGATAAGAAAAAGAAAAAGCATTCTCATCTTATATCTTTTTCCACTCACAAACAAAGATTGAGTTTGAGGTTTGTTTTCATGGTTTCGAGTTCTTGGTTTCTTATTGAGATTACTTTCTCTTCGTGGATTGATTTTCACAAAAGGTATCATTTAATTTTGGGAAAAGGATTAAAAATGCCCTTAACGTATCACAAATGGTTTAAAAATGCCCTTCTTCCACCTTTTAGATCAAAAATGCCCTCAACCGGTAAACCATGGCAATGACATGGCAATGATGAGTCATTTAATAAAACAAATGACTTCATTTTATTGGTCCACATAATTCTTTAACCCAATTTAACTACCCAATCCATCAAGGTAAAAAAAACTCAACAGGTAAACCATTTTAAAAATGAACCCAACCTATCCACATATTCCTTCCATTCTTTTCGTCCTTGACCCTCTTCAATACATATCATGTGAGAAACAGATCATTCTCCATTTACATTTTCAGACGAGAAATACTAATGAACACCCATTTGCTTATTTAGTCAAAGAAATAAGAGAGTGAAATTAGCAGAATAAGATTAAAAAAAATTGAAATCTTGATAACTATCCACGTACGAAAATGTGTTAAAACAACCAATTTTGGCACATATTATGAATGACACAAATCAAAAAATGGAATCTTGATAAGTATCCACATACAAAAATGTGCTAAAATGATGTTTTTTGCCACACATTATGAGAGACAAAAATAAAAAAAATGAAGTCTTATATAAGTACCCACATACGAAAATGTGTTAAAACACCTAATTTTTGCACAAAAATTATTAAAGACAAATACCACGATTTGTTCTCAACTTGAGAGATAATGTGGATAGTGTTTAATCTTGATAGTGGTTCCAAACGTAATGAGAATGGACAAAGCCACATTTCTATGCAAATGTATTCAAGGATGAAAAGAATGGAAGGTTGGTTAGGTTTATTTTTAAATGGGTTATCGGGTGGGTTTTTTACCTAAGATGGATTGGGGTAGTGAAATTGAGTCTAATAAATTATGTGGACCAATAAGATGAAATCATTTGTTTCATTAAATGACTCATCATTGTCATGTTATTGTGGTGTTAAAAAGGGGCATTTTTAGACTTAAAAAAAACCTTGAGGGCATTATTGATCTAATAGGTGGAAGGAGAGCATTTTTAAACCATTTGTAATACGTTAAGGGCATTTTTAACCCTTTTCCCTTTAATTTTTATTGTATAATTTCATTTTCATGATCATATAATACTTGATTCCAATGTTATGAAGTTGCTTAAATTTTATGTGTGTTTAATTTTGACACTAATATTGAAACCTTTCCTATTTGTTTTATCTACGTTATCTTTCATTTGTATTGTAGGTTACTATCAATTAAGTACCTCTTGTATAAAACCAAAATTAACCCCCATGCCTGAAAGAATTATATTCTAATAGTTTGTTTAGTCAAATTAACTAAAATTAAAGATGTTTATTTTAGAAAAATTAAGAGATGAAGAGTTACATTCTTTTTTTTCTTTTTTTTTTAATGCCTTTTGTCATAACTTGTAAGTATACTTAAAATGTAAATGCATCTATACGAATTTGAATATGAAATAACTTTTATTTGTTTAAGATTTTAGACTTTTATTGTTTTAACAGTGTTCATTAATATGAATAGTAAACAAGTAATTTAATCACTAATAAGATGTTTAAGCTTTCTAGCAATAGATAAATATTTGGATGTATGACCCGTTAAAATATTTGTTTCGATTAAGAATGTATTTACAAATCTTTTTCTTGAGACATTAAAAGAAACTCAAGGCTGCGGTGACACACCTTGTCCAATAATACAATTAACTTTCATTAATCTAAAGTAGAGACTTATAGATAAAAATTATTAAGTGCGATGCAAAGAAGACAGTTATGCCTCTAAATGTCAAGACCAAAATTGCAGTTACACATCTAGGTTGAGACCTATAAAAATTCAACAGTAAAAAATGTGAGCAAATCATGGCCAGTAGTAATATATCCAAAAAATAATTTAAGTCAAGTATAAGTTGATAAAAGCGAGTAAGCGACCATGCTAGAACCATGAGACTCGAGGGATTCCTAATACCTTTCCCTCGGTCAACAGAATTTCTTACCCGAATTTCTAGTTCGCAGACCATAATAAAAAGTCATTTCCTTTTGATTAGGGATTAAAAATAAAAGGTGACTTGGAACACCATAACTCAATTCCAAGTGGCGACTCCGAAAAAAAAAATCTAATCAATATTGTCACTTAAATTGGAAAAACCCTTTCGCCGTCCGAAAAAGGGGTGTGACACCATGTATCTAGATGCATCAAATTCTGATAAGATTCATAATATTACAAACTAACATATATCAAAGTAATTAACTCCTAAACTAGTGAGATTTCTATGAGTTACCCTTGTAAATTCTAACATTAATCTTTAACCAATTTGTAAGTTTGATGTTTTCTCAGAACTGCAAAACCATCAAGCGGATGACCCAATTTGTTGGGCCCTTCCCGTATATGTGGGCTCAATGTATTTGGGCCTAATGGGCAGTCAGGACTATTATAGAGAAAAATTCACCAATAACAAACATAACAAACAAAATAAGGCTCTATAGTTGTAGTTTCGACTTTCGATAATTGCACTCCAGAGTTATAGTTTCGTTTACTATGGAGGTTGCGGTTTGTATATTTCGCTTGCGAATATACAAATAGGGTAAGTATATGTAAATTATGTATTAATACATTAGAAATTTTTCCAGAACTCCATTTGTATATTTTTCTTGCCAATACACAAAAAGGGTAATTTATTATGAATTTTTCATAAATCATATACAAATAGCTAGGGTAAGCATATAAAGTTTCTGAATTTATACAATCAGGAACCGAATTATACAAATTCTTAATTTATATAAATCAAGCGAATTATGCAAATCAGGCGAATAACAAGAATTAAGAAAACTGTAGCCGTGAATTACAATTTTCATAAACTATTACTATAGTACCTAATATATGCTAAATATTTACTACTCTACATAATTTTCCTATTTTATTAGTATTTTCATAATGAGGTGATAAAGATTTGTTAGAAACACCTAAATTTGACGGTATACTAAATTTAAGAAAGATTGAGATTGATTTCGAGTGAAAAAATTTTATAGCTGAAATCAACGTAGCAAAACTCAAGTATTTATATTGCGAATATGAGTATTTATATGTAACACAATTTTTATAAATAAATATACATGATATATAAAAGATACATTAATATACATGGATGATTTATACGGATATAATCCAATCGAAACGAAGCACAATTGGTTAAAGATAATAAATTATAACAACCATTCGATATTTTCATTATTAGAACATAAAATTTGAAAATTTGAACGTACTATCTTCCATGTTACCGCCAACCGCAGAATAATCATATATGCATGCAAAATTAATTCCCAACCTCTCATTTCCATTTTTTTTAATAACAATTACAAAAAGAAAGTAAAAAAGAAGTCCAAGAATAATTTTTGCTCTCATTAAAATCTTTCTTCTTCTTCTTCCTCCATATTTCATCTAAATCCAATATCTTCTTCACATTCAAAAACAATTGTTATCTGCGTCAAAATAACACCATTATCCCCATATCATTTCATCCCCTTTTCGGGGTTGATCTGATATCTGAGTAAGCACATTTTTTCTACCACCCCTAGAGGTAAATTTATAATTTAAAGATGTAAGTACAACATTTGATATAAAATAAAAGGCTACAATAGATGTTCTTAAATTTTGTGAAATTGAATAATTGTAGCTTTCGTTTTGTTATATGAAAATTTGAGTTTTTAAGGTTGCGATTTTAGGAATCAAAATTATGTTTAGACGTACAATATAATTACTTTAAAAAAAATGAAGTCTTGTATGCGCGAAGACTCAAAAACCGGTTTGAGTTAATTTTTTGAAAACTTGAAAATTAGATTTTCAAAATCTATTCAAATTTTATGATTAAAAAAATATTTAATACTAAATCTCCAAAATCTGATCAATTTTCATGAATTATGACCATATATACATTTAAAAATAAATTTGATTTATGACCAAATACAAACTTAATTTTCCTTATTTATGTTTCTTTCTTTGTGAATACAAACTATATATAATTCAAAAACCAAATACATACTATATATAATTCAAGACTCTATTCCTCCTATAATAAATTCAAATTTTATTTTTGATCAGATATCTCGAGAAGCAAAACGTGACAAGATGTTCAAGCAAGGTGGTGCGGACATTGAGTCCGGTAACAAGGGTGGCGTTAATGGCGGTCAAATATATCCGGGGCAGATGGAAGATCCTCAGATGAGATGGGCATTTATCAGAAAAGTTTATTCTATAGTTTGTACACAACTTTTTTTCACCGCCGTGATCGCCACCGTCATGTTCTTCACTCCGGCCGTCAAACATTACATGAGAACCATTCTTGGCAGAGTCACCGTCATTGTTCTTCTTGTCATCGCCTTTATACGTAAAACACTCTTACCTTATTCTCGTTTGTTGTTACTTCTATTGTTTTATCTGACTCAAATTATTTATCGTGTTTTTTTTATTTTTTTTAGAAACGTTAATGATGAGGAGGTGGGGGTGGGGGGCTGATTATTTTATTTTTATTTATAACTTGAGATATTATCTTTGTTCGCTGAATATTTACTTTAGTTTTTTATTTTGACAATCAACACGCTAGTTATATTAATGCATAAAAAGGTTCAAATTGTTAAAAGATGTGATAGCATCACTTACAATTCATCTATGGAAAGTGGAAAGCCAAACAACTTTGCGTACTAACAAAATAGAAATTTTTGTTGTGCTACTAAATTTCAAGACCTTGGAATATGCGTCACATTGATCACTTCAAAGCAATTCATAAGGTTCCAAATGTCTTTACAAGTAGTCTCTATCTCCCATGAGACTATAGTTCTTTGTAGTACCATAACCATCACATTTTTTGCATCTGATAAGATTTGCACCTTTGTCCATCTCTTTTTTCTAGCATTCTCCAGCGTCATACGAATTGCAATTGCTTCAGCAGTGATGGGTTTCCCAACATATTGAATTGGGATACCAAAGGCATGAAGCAGGTTACTATAACATATTGTTTGTGATCTTAGAGTAGAACTCTTTTAATGTACCTAAATGTTATTTAAATTTTGTAGTTTTAAATATGTTATATGAGGTATTAGTATTACGGTAAAAGAATGACCTATTAACATAGAACATAACGTTTTTTTTTCTGAACCAAATCAAGAAAGAAAGCAATATATATAAATTGAAACTAATGAAGTATAAAACTAAGTTAGACAAATGCAATTCAAAGTTCATGATTTAATTAAAATGTTATACTAATCATTTTGATTTATTTTATTTTTGTTATAAAATTTGCAGTTATCTTCTTGATGGGTCGCTATGGAAAAAAACATCCATGGAACTATCTTCTTATGGGAGTCTTCACCTTGTGTCTAGCATGTGTTGTTGGAGCAGCCTGCGCTTTAAGAGCCGGTAATATTTTCTAAATCTGCTATAATACGTTAAATTACATTCACAGTATGAAAAATCTCGTTAGGATATATTTTTATGTAAATCTTATGTCATTTCTTTAAGTATATTTCTTGAGTCAAAGGTCTAACGTAAAAACAACATATTTATTTTCGTAAGGTAAAGTAAAGTTGTGTATACCATCATCCTTGGATTGAATATATTATTGTTGTATTTCTTTAATTATATATTTTGGAAAACAATATTATTAATTGATTGTCGCATAAAATGCATAATGTGAAAATTTTATTACGCAAATACACAATAAATCTACATTCATATTTATTTTTCTTTTGGTTTACACCCGGTGTTATGTACCTGTTTTGGAGTCTGATTAATCCATGGATTGTTTAGAAGTCTCATTTTAAAGGGTAAAGCATTACCAAACAAAAGTGACCCGTTCTCAATGCTTAAACGTGTAACATTTGATTAAGGATGGAGGGGTATTAGTATTACTACCCCATCACACCTTTGGTGGTTGTTTTTTTATAACCATTAGAAGTACTCAAATTATTTCATATAAATATTACTAGGAGATTAGTCTTTGATAAAAATGTAAATATTTTTTTGGTAAATATGCTAGTAGCATAAGTGAAAAATAGATATGAATATTAACTTTACGCAAAAATAAAAGAATAATTGAGACTGACAATTAGATATGAGTAATGATTTTGAGATTTTCATCTCATACGACCCGTTACATCTTTCGAATTCATTGGATCTTTTACAACCCTATTACATCTTTCGAATTCATTGAATCCTTTTACGCGTTCGATTATGAAACCCATCATGTATGTAATGATTTGTTTATTTATTTACAGGGGAAACTATCTTGATTGCTGCTGGGCTAACAGTTCTTATAACTGTTAGCCTTACCTTATACACATTTTGGGCTGCAAGTAGAGGCAAAGACTTCAGCTTTTTGGGCCCATTCTTATTTTGTGCCTCAATAGTCCTATTTATGTTTATTCTAATGCAGGTACGTATACGTATATATATACACGTATGTATATGTTTGTTCATATACATATATTTTCATTCCTTTTTTTCCCCTAACATATTTTTTTTCCCAAAATGCAACAGTTTATTCTCGATCTAGGACGTGAAGCACGAGTGGTATATAGTTGTCTGGCAGCATTACTATTCTCAGCATATCTAGTATACGACACGAATAACTTAATCAGGAACTTCACGTACGATGAATATGTCATTGCAGCAATTTGCCTTTTCGGAGACATCGTTAACCTCTTCTTAGCTCTTCTTGGAATCTCTGGTGAATAAAAATAATTACTCCAATTTGGTTGGAAAAAAATATGTTTTTGAGAGAATGTTTGTTATAATTTTCTTGTGTATAGAATTTTATAATTTTTCTATTTAGCAAACTGGAAGATATCCTATGGTCTGAGATTTATCCTTACCATATGTGGCTCTTCTTCTTTTTTTCAATTGGTAACTTGATTGCACTTTTCTTTTTCTTTAAGTTAATAATTTAAATGTTGAAGTAGAATCAAAAAGAGAAGGCATGTAGCATGCGTGTGTATACTCGTACAACTTTATATAAATTTAATTGGCTATTTGTACACATTCAAAACTGCATGACATAGAATATAGATATCAGTCAAGGCCAAATTGAACATATTTATATATTATGCCAAGAGAAAATATTGAAAAGGTCACGTGGTATGAAAAAGAGGACCATCTCCTTAATATGGCTTGAGCAATTCTCCCCTTATTAACTATCTTTTACATTATATTTGGCCAAAAATTATTTCTTTGTATGATATAAGAGACTCTTCATAATTATTAGCTAGCTTTTAGGTTATATTAGGCCAATATTTATTTCTTTGTATGGTACAAGAGACTACATCCTAATTCTTTTTTACTAATGGTAGATGTTCGACCCAAAACATGAGGCGAGATATTGAAGAGTGTTGTATCGAATGTAAAAGGAAAAAGTTATATTTCATCAAATAATATAGCTTGAGCAATTCTTTTTTCATAAGTTAATTTTTAGAATTGAGTTAAAGCCAAGATCTATCTCTTATACGGAGAATAAAAAATATTATTCTTACTAAAGATGTTCCTCCAAATGGAAACAAAAGAAATTACTATAGATCAAGACAAAATCAAAGTGTATCTATCTAAAAAGAAACCTTGATGTGAGCTTCAATAACAAACAAAGGTATAAAAGCTTAAGTCCAAATATTTAATTAAGTGCCATAAAATCACAGACAAGTCTTTATATCCCACTATATTATACTCAAATATTGGATCTTTTTTTCTCTTTTTGACTGTGCCACAGTCCAAGATACCACTTTCCTTTTCCCCACAAAATATATACAAAAGAATAAAGGACATTGATCACATGGTTTTCCATCTTTTCTTTATTTCACTTTACTTTATCCTTAACAAAATGAAATACAACAAAGACCATAACATAAACTCAAAATAATATTCTTCAAAAGTAATTTAAGTAGGACCCCATTTGGATAACATATACTTTTAATTTCATTTTTACAATAGAAATACTTCCACAAGTAAAAAAAACAAAGAACACCCCATCCAATATCATAGCATTTTGTTAGGTCTAAAATCCCATCAAAAGAGGCAAAAAACATAAACCCCTTACTAAATCAACCTTACTCATTATGCAAGTTTCTACACTTGAAAAAAAACTTCAAAATTTTTGTCTACTATTTTTTTCTGCAGCAATACTTAGCAACCTTGAAACACCTTGAGTCCATAGATCATACTCTCTCTGATCTCTACATTCGAACTCAACGACCCCTCGTAGAACAGTCTTCAACGCGAAGTATTTGAAGTTGTCACTACCCGGAAGCAAGTGGCGCCCTGGCCAAGCCGGAATATCTTTCATGACTTCCAGCACCAAATCTACAAAAAAATTCAAAAAGGAAAAGGCTAAAGAACACTACACTACACACTATTATGATAAAGATGACAACTTTATCAATCTTTTTTCATTGATCAAAGTTGTGGAATTTGTTGCTTTCTCAAATCCCCAAAAATAGAAGGAAAGACCCACAATCCAATTGTGTTCACATCATGAGAAAGAGGAAGAAAGACAAAAAGCAAAGCAAAAACTTACTCTTTTTCTTTTTTGTTATGGTCCCAGCAACATGCCTACTCTTCATTTTTAGCATCACCTGCAAAAAAAGAAACCTCCAAGTTAAAAATCAGCAGTAAGAAAGTAGATTCTTTTGTTTCGATTAGACGATTATGCGATAACTTTAACTTTTCATCACATCAATTTTCAGGAAGAAGTTTCTACTGTGATCATAGAATAATTGTCACAAAGAAAACTATTTGATCTTAAAAGACTAGTTATTATACAATTATTGAAAAAGGATGCCTTACCTGTCCTGTCCTGTTTATATATACAGATACTATCTTCCAATGCAGGTCACCTGCAATAAGCATTACACAAAGAACTATTAAAAACGGAAAAAAAGACGAAACTCCATCGCTTAAGAATGATTAATTAGTATATTCAAGAGATTGAAATTATACCTTTGCGTGTACGTTTGAGGAGCTCACCACCCCGTGCGAGTAATTCCCTGCTGCAAATTCCAAGAAAATTCTCTTCGGGGATTAACTCGCCACTTGAACTACCATTGCTACCACCACCATTGCCACTACCCATCCCTTTATCAACAGGAATTACTGCTGCTATGTTCCATACTTCCTTCAATGTTCTAGCCTTTAATGTAGCCGCACCACGTAGAGCTACACAACAATACTCACAAATTAAGGAATGTATATATATATATAACACAAATTAAACCCACCACCTACCTCAGACGTAAGTATTATACGAACAGCACAATATTATTAACATAATTGAGAAATTTAGAAGTGTACCAGTAGCCGCAGCTGCAGTTAATGTCATGATATCCCCTGCTGATCGAACGTTCACAGCAGAACTAACAACCGATGCAAGATGTTCGCGCTCAGCTCCCATAGCCTCGGCAGCTTCAACACACTGAGCTGCCACCAAGGTAGCAGCAGAGGCCACAGCCATATCAGTTTTCGCCATCTGCTCATCCTTTCCACTACCAGATGAAGCTGCAGTAGCTGCAGCTATAGCAGCAACAGCAGCAGCAACTCCTGCAACCGACACAGCAGCATGAAGTTGTGCATTATGTGCCCTCATCTCCTCTTTCTTCTTCTCCCTCCTATCCTTCAACCACCTACCCACCGTCTTCCCTCCTCCACCACCACCACCGCCACCAGTAACAGCCGAGCTAGTAGCAGTAGCACTACTCCTATACTGGTTATTAACCGGCACGTTGTTTACACGACAGTACTGAAGACAACAAAACTATGTGTCAGCATCCATTGAAACAGTCTCACCACACTATTTCAGCAAAAAATAATGCCAGTAAAGATTACCTACATTCTGCAAGGAACCAAACACCTTCATGACAGCATTAAATCTCATACTAATTAAAAAACCCACCAGAAAATTGGACCATTTTTTCTTGGCTCTCAAACAAGTACCCCCTCCCCCACCACCATAACTCCCAACAAGAATGAATTTTTTTAATAGTAACCCAATATTGACATCTAAAACAAAGGACAATCTGGTAATTTACACATTCAGTACTAACACTAAAACTATAGAGGTACCAAAATCTTCTCAGTACTAAACAGAGAAGATCACAGTGAATACTGAATACACTGTCCTTTCTCCCACAGCCCATCATGTACAGATGAATTTCTCATACTAGTGAAAAAAAAATTACTTCTTTCAGATATCAATCAAACAAATACTATCATAGAAGTCAATATATAATTCTTGAAATTACAAAACTAAATTAAAAAAAGGGGAAATCTTACTAAACAAGTGATCCAAGACTATTCTTTTGTTCACAAAGCAAAGAAAGCATCAATTTGGTACAGAGTTTGTAGAGGTATTGGTTAAAGAGAAAGCTGATATATTGTCTCTCTCAAGTCTGAAACTTCAGAAACTCGTGCTTTGTATCAGAAAAACTTGCAATGGAGAAAAAAAGAAGCAACATCTGAGTCATATGTTAAGAGAAAAACAAAGAACACAAACCTTAGAATCGTCCATTTCAGAAGGAGAAACAGGGGGACTGTCTGTAAGAGAGCCACCATTTAAAGGTCCACTACTGTGAGAGAGCCGTCCAGATGTGCGTGGTGAAACATCCTGCTGTACACCACAAATATAAAAATCAATCAATAAAATAATAGATCGTACTAAAAACTATAGAAAAATGGGATCATTAAGGATTTGAAAATTACAGAACCCCAAAAACAAAGAGACAAATAATTAATTTTTTTCTTATAACAGAGGAAATGGAGAGAATGATTGTTGGTGGATTTTAAATTATTAAATTAATCAAACCAAAACCCAGAGAGAGTAAAACCAGTAATAGCTCTGAAAAAGCAAAATATAAATTAAATACACTTGTTGATGTTTTCAAGAAATCATAAAGTAACAGTTGTGTCACCATTAATGTCCCCCAAACTCAGCTCCTACCAAGAAGCTCTTGGTTTTCCCATAAATCCAAAAAATAGTAAAACCCACCAAAAAAATCCAAAAATAAAAAATGGGTTTCACATGAAAACAGAAATAAACAAACAAAAAAAGTCAAATTCCCAAATTCCTCTGTTTTTTTTTTTTTTGTAAAAAACAGAGCAGTGAAAAGGGGTACTTACAGAAACAGACATAATGCGTTCCATAATAAGCTGAGAAGTTTCAGAAGAAGCAAATGAAAAAGGGTTGCCGGAAACAATGGCGGATTCATCTAACTCGGCGGCAATATCTTCCGGTATAGTACCACTACCACTCCCAATATAAGAAGGGGTACCACTAAATAGTGATTTAGGTAAAACTTGAGGAGGAGCTAAAGCTTTAGAGACTTCAAAAGCAGAGAGACTCCATGAACGAGATAGAAATTCCATTGGTTCTTTGGGTGTCTCCGGCGGCGGTGGCCGGTACATTGGCTGAACTTGGTCCATTTTTACCGGTGAAAAATTTAAAAGAATGTAAAAAAGTGAGAGAGGAATCGAAGTAGAAGTTGTTAGTAATGGAGAGTTGTTTTTTGATGCTTTATAGATCAAAGGAATGAGAAAGTGAATGTTGTACAGTGACTCTATGTGTGTGTGTGTGTGAGAGAGAGAGAGAGAGGAAGAAGAAAGACAAAAAGTGCAGCTGAATTGTCAGTGATATATTTTACATTTAGAATTTGGTCAATAAATATAACTAATCCAGATATTAAATTTTTTATATCTAGGAC